TGCCTAAGGCATTTGACTGCTACCCAGAAGGATGGCAGTTCAAACCCACTAGCCACTCCTAGGGAACAAGGTTGGGCAATCTACTTCCGTAGAGATACCGCCTCGGAAACCCATGGCGGGGTTGCTAAGAGTCAGACCCGACTCGACGGTGGTGAGTTTGGTTTTTGGTTTTTGTTTCAATTATTAACTATATGCAGATGAGTCCCACATGTATATTCTAGATCTAAACCTATTCTGAGTTCCAGACTCACATAATCAACTGCCTACAGGTCATTTCTACTTAGATGTCTCATGTTGTTGCTGTTGTTAGGTCCTGTAGAGTCAGTTTTGACTCATAGTGATGCTATGTACAACAGAGCAAAGCACTGCCTGGTCCTGTGCCATCCTCACAGTGATTGCAATGTTTCAGCCCATTGTTGCAGCCAGTATGTCAATCCATCTTGTTGAGGGTCTTCTTCTTTTTCACTGACCCTTTAGTTTCCCAAACATGATGTCCCTCTCCAGAGACTGGTCCCTCCTGATACCATATCCAAAGTACATACGAAGTCTTGTCATCTTTGCTTCTAAGGTGCATTCTGGCTATACTTCTTCCAAGGCAGACTTGTTTATTCTTCTGGTAGTCCATGATATATTTATTATTCTTTGCCAACACCATAATTCAAAAGCCTCAGTTCTTCTCTGGTCTTCCTTAGTCATTGCCCAGCTTTCACATGCATATGAAGTGATTGAAAATATCATGGCTTATGTCAGTAACTCTGTGTATTCCTTCCAACTTCTTTTGATGCTTCCTGCATCACCTTTATTTATTTATTTATTTTGCTCATAGAATCCTTCAATATTGCAACTCAAGGCTTGAATTTTCTTTTTCAATTCTTTCAGTGTGACAAATGCCAAATGTGTTCTTAGATGTCTCATAAACCAAAACCAAACCCACTGCCATAGCGAACCCAGAAGACAGAGTAGAACTGCCCTATAGGATTTCTAAGAATGTAAATCTTTACAAAAGCAGACTGTCTCATCTTTTTCGCATGATGTGGCTGGTGAGTTCAAAGTGTCAACCTTTTGGTTAGCAGCCAAATGCTTTAACCACTGTGCCACCAGAGCTCCTTAGATGTCTCATAGGTACCTCTTAGACTGCATAACTACAATTAACTTGTTAACTTCTGCTTAATATCCTCCCCCTAGTGAATGGCATTATCTGCAGGTTGCCCAAGTCAGCAATTTGGGAGTCATCATAGACTCCTTCCTTCCCCTCACACTCTAATGTTGACTCTACCTCCTAAATGTTTTACTCCTGGATTGCTGCAACAGTATCTTGTCCCTTCTCTAGTTTTGCTCCCTTTCAACCTAGAGCAATACTCAGGAGGAAAAGATCACACTTGTACTGGTCAAACCTGTTTCCTTTGTGTAAATTCCAACTCATGGTGACCCCCTGTGTCCTTAGGGCTTTCAATGCCTGCTATCTTATGGAAGCAGATCACTAGGCCTTTCTTCCAAAGCCCGGTGGGGTGGATTTGAACTGCTCACTTTCCAGTCAGTCACAAACTGTTTGCTCTTGCCAAGGACCTCTATACTGGCCATTGTTGTTGTTGTTGGGTGCTGTCAAGTCAATGTCTACCCATAGGAACCCCGTGTGACAAAGTAAAACTGTCCCATATGGATATCTAGGCTATAATCTTTATGGGATCAGAACACCATGTCTTTCTCCCTAGAAGGCACTAGATGAGTTTGAACTGCCTAGTGAGGCAGTTAGGGCTAAGGTTAACAACTGAGCATTTAACCGTTAGTGTCTAAATAGCTGCTCTTGCTAAATGCTGGCTTCCTGGTAACCAAGGTAAAAGGAAGGAAGGGTGGTCTTCATATTTCTTAATGCTTATTCTAACACTAACACTTTGCTCTCAAACAAATCTCAGGAGAATTCTATAGAGAGCAATGTCTTCAACAGCATTCCTATGATATATCTTGCAATTTCATTCAACAAATATTTATGGAGTACTTATGATAAACAGATATTTGTAGAGCACTGTGCTCATTCTTGGAGATAAAACAGTGAATGTGGTTGTTTCTTATCTTGTGATTAAAACTAAATTTTTGCGTAATATTAAATGCAACCCTCTGAAGACAAACTGGTAGAAAGCCTTATTTCCCAAGCCATCCCTGCCTGGTGGTAAAATCAGGGTCACAAAAACAGTCATTCAGGGTTTTCTGTTTTGTTTTTTTTTCCTGGGTCTGTCCACAGCGCATGATTTTAAGGACTTCCAGCCTCTATTTTAAATTCTAGCTCACCACCATCACCACCATCAGCATACAGCACACACAAAATATTTATAGAGCTCCCCAAGGATTGTCTCTCATGTGCTGACAAACAGTGCTTTCAATTACCACATGGAATCTGTCATTTTCCACCCTCACTTGCTCTGGCTTCCTGCAGAGAGCTGCTGCTAAGGCATTCTACCCTTCTTCTCCTCTATCCCTCCTTTCCCCCTGCCCCCACAAACATGTGTGGACAGGCAGAACTGGCTGCCAAGTATTGCTTCCACAGTCCAAAGCTGCCAGGGTGTAGGGTGTGGACTAGAGTTGCCCTGATCATTTATTGTAGAAGGTGTTGGCACCCACATCCCAATATTACATTGCCACATAGATGTGCTAAAACTATCAGGGCTGCTGAATCAGCAGAAGCAGTTGAATTACCAGCTCTGGTGGCATAGTACCTAAGGCATTTGACTGCTAACTAGAAGGCTGGCAGTTCAAATCCACCAGCCACTTCTCAGAAGGAATATTGGGCTAAACTGTTGAGACTAGGCCCTCACAACCTTTGGGCTTACATTTGGATATACAGGTTCTGAAGCAGTGTTGTTTGGTGCTCTTGATGCCTTGTTGTTGTTGTTGTTATGTGCTGTTGAGTCAGACCCAACTCATAGTGACCCCTCCTTGGGTTGCCGAGGCAGTATCACTACGGAAGTAGGTTGCCCAACCTTCCTTCCGAGGAGTGGCCTGAAACTATAATAAAAGAGCTTTCAAGTTTTCACTACATCAGGACACATAGTAAGATTTCAAACAATGAATCCATAGGCTGGGCCAGGGAGAAAGCTGTGACAACATGCAGTGCCTCAAAATTACCCTTCCCTCACCTTGGGGCATTCAGAACTTTCTACTTTGGGCAATAGAGTTTAGACTCAGGACAGGAGCTACGCTGTGTAAGTGTGTTACCTTCACATCTGGTTCAGTTTTTTTTTTTTTTCCCAAGGATCAAATTTAAAATGATTTTAGAAATGGTTAGGAGGTATATATTCAGAATCCTTTCCACAAATATCCTCCCTCTTAAGTTAGTCTTAAGAAGGTCTGGTGGTATAGTGGTTAAAGCATATGACTGCTAACCAAAAGGTCAAAGGTTCAAACCCATCAGCTGCTCCACAGAAGACAGATGAGGCAGTCTTTCCTAAAGATTTACAGCCTTGGAAACCCAGTGGGGGTTGCTATGAGTCAGAATCAACTTGATGGCAGTCAATTTTGCTGTTTGTTTTTGGTTATTTGCCTTAAGATAGACACAGTTTAGATTGTGTCCTATTGCAGAGATCTGGAACAAAGGCTTGGAGTATTGTATGCTCTAGAGAAATCAAATTGGCAGGTAGTAAGAGACATTATGTCTTCCAGGTAATTAAGGTGCTCTGGTAGCATAGTGCCTGAGGCACTTGACTGCTCACCAGAAGGCTGGCGGTTCAAACCCACCAGCCACTCCTCGGAAGGAAGGTTGGGCAATCCTATTTCCGTAATGATGCTGCCTCGGAAACCCAAGGAGGGGTCGCTATGAGTTGGGGCCGACTGGACGACAAACAACAACAACAGAGAGTCACTGGGACAGGTGAAGGCAAAGCCTGGATTTTTCCACAAGTAGTATTCTGAATGTAAGTAAACACATCATGGTCTTAAAAGTTCTACATGGCTGAGGCGATTTAAGCCGTAGAATTTTACAGAGATAGAAGAGGGAAAGCAAATGAATATTAAATAAAACGCACCTAGGGCCACGCTTCACAAATGGTAATTGTTCAGTAGTGTCTCGGTTTTTAGCAACTCCAACTTCCAGGACTTCAAGAAAGTCTTCTACACTCGCTGGACTCAAAATACTGCCCTCCTCTACTCATTCAGGGAGCTCTGGTAGCATAGTGGCTAAAGCACTTGACTGCTAACCAGAAGGCTGGCGGTTCAAACCCACCAGCCACTCCTCGGAAGGAAGGTTGGGCAATCCTACTTCCGTAGTGATACTGCCTCGGAAACCCAAGGAGGGGTCGCTATGAGTCGGGGCCGACTCGACGGCACATAACAACAACAACAACTACTCATTCAACCCCTCCTTCCGTTCTTCCCTACGTAGACACGGCAAAACCGCTAGTTGGAGATTCACTCCCACACCTGGCCCTGCCCAGTCCTTGAAACTTTGGTGGGCTGGGCCTAAGGGGCTAAGCGCTCTGCCCAGGGCGGGGAATTCCGCCCCTTGAGGACCCTTTGTGGGAATTGTAGTTCTTACAACTCAGAGCGCCGTACGGGGCGCCCCAGTGGGACTCGTTTTCCCGCGCTCCTCTGCGCGAGTCCTCTTTGGACAGGTCTCTGGGTGGGTAAGTGAGTGGGAGCTTGCCCATAGAAATGTAGAATCCAAGTGGTCTGTATTAGTAGAGCTGCTGCCAGCGAGGAGCTAAGAGTTAGTAATCTGTCCTTCAACAACTGGAGGCCAAACTTGGCATTCAAGTTTAAGGTTCTCTAGAGGACGAAGGATAGCCAGATACCTTCTCTGGGGCCCAGTCTGCAGGAGAAGGGACCAATCCCGACACTGGTTAAAATCCCTAGAATTCCTGCAGGAAGATCTTCGTTGCTCCCATCTCTTCTTTCCCGGCGTTCTCACGCGGGGGTTCCCCTCAGGGACAGGAGACGCAGCTGTCTGCACTTGTTGGGCGGCTGGATATGCACGCCCGCCTGTCCCTGAGAACTTGAGGGAGGCTGCTGAGCCCCGACGACCGCGAAGGGCTTGTGCTCGCCTCTTGCAGCCTCGTCGCGGAGGGCAGCTGAGGGGTGACCGCCATGATCACTGGTGTCTTCGGCAAACGCGTGTGGGCCCCGCTGGGTGTCCTGACTTCGATAGGATACTGCCTCCACCAGCGGAGAGTGGCCCTGGCGGAACTGCAGGAGGCAGACGACCCGCGTCCGGTCAACCGCAACCTGCTGGAGCTGAAAATGGTGCAGGTCGTGTTTCGACACGGGGCTAGGAGTCCTCTCAAGCCGCTCCCGCGGGAGGAGGTGAGAGATCGGCCCGGGTCGGTGCAGGTGGGGCGAGGACCTTATGACCAATCCATGGGAACCAGGCGCCTCGGCCGAACACACACCCTCGGAGTTTTACCGCTACGGAGCGGGGCTCAGACGGGGTCCAGACCAAGGGGAACAGGCAGTAACCGGTCCCTATCTCGGCTCTTAGCCAAGGTGCTGGGTTCTGCTCTTCTGGGTGTAGGGCAGCCCGGCGCTTCCTGTTACGCCGCTTGATGGCTGGCTGTAGTGTAGCACAGCCTGTAATGCTGCACTTCTTAAGGCCACATGAATCACCTGGAGATCCTGTTAAAGTGCAGATTATGATTCTGTTGATGTGGGGTGGAACCGGAGATTCTTCATTTCTAACAGGTTTCTAGGTGAACTTGAGTACAAGGATGTGCATTTCTTGATTGTGATCTCAAACCAATATGGTTTTGAAGGTTGTTTGCCAAAGGGACCTTTGTGACAGAAACCGCCCTAACTAGGATCACAGTGCATCTAAGAGTTCATTGCTTTTGGGAACAGATTTTACAGCAGCAGATTTTTCACAGGTAGGGCTTTCTGGAGACCAGTTGAGATCTCTTGAAGGCTCGTTGGCAAAAAGTGCAATATCTTGGGGCTTTCTTTTTTTGACTGGAGATTTCAAGCCTGTAGTGAAAATGATGTGAGATAGGAAAAAAAAAAAAAAAAGAAGAAGAGAGAGAGAGAGAATGACAAGTCTTGTAAGTCTTGTAGTCATGTCTTAAATTCTACCTGAATTGGTCAGGATAATTATGATGAAAGTACAAATAATTTGTTTTCTTAGTGATTCCCCTTTCCAGATATGATTCTTGGGGAGAGCCAGTGAAGGTCTGTGACCTTTCATAGCAGGTTGGCCTTTGATTAAAGAACTGGCTTCCCATTAAAGATGAACCCAAAGCCCACTCCCATCATCAACTTGATTCCAACTCATAATGAGTAGGACAGAGTAGAACTGACCCATAGGATTTCCAAGGCTGTAAATCTTTACTGAAGCAGATCTCTCTCTCCCATGGAGCGGCTGGTGGAACTGCTGACCTTTTGGTTAGCAGCCAAATGCCTTAACCACTGTGCTACCAGGAATGCCCAGGTCCCCAGACATTACACTTGTGGAGTGCTTTAGATCCTCTAGGTTGGTGTTGGAGCAGGATCAGCAGGGTGTTCACACTTCCTATTAGGCATGCTCTTCATGATCTTAGTTGCTTTCCAGAAACCTTCAGTGTCATGTCTTCACATTGTACAACTGAAAAGCTAGTTTATGAAGCTAGCCACACATGAAATGAAATAGCTAAAGCACTTTCTACATAAATAAATTGTGGCAGGCATTTAATTCTATTGCCAAGTTTCTAACCTTTCTATGAGTATACCACTTTCTGGTATCTGAATTTCTCCCCCCCCCCTTATGCTTTGCTTTGATCTTAGGTCACTACATTTTTCTTATACTTTTATGTACATATACCAGACCAAAAACCAAACTCACTGCTGTCAGGTCGGATCTGACTCATGCCACCCCTCCTTGGGTTTCCGAGGCGGTATCTCTACAGAAGTAGATTGCCCAACCTTCCTTCCAAGGAGTGGCTGGTGGGTTTGAACCACCAGCCTTCTGGTTAGCAGTCAAGTGTCTTAGGCACTACGCTACCAGAGCTCTTTTGTGTACATATAGCCCATCTTGTGTGCAACCACTTACTACCCCCATTCTTCTCCATTTATTCTTGTTACAAAAGGACTAGAAAATAATATATAGGGATGGGAGACTTATGTTAAAGACAAAGTGATCAGTGGTAGCAGAGAATAAAAGTCTGAATGTTTAGGCCTAGATCTAGTATTACATTACATGTGCACCATGAAGGGCCTGGAAAAAGATTTAGATTCCTTTAGGCCTTCTTCCTCCTGAGCCTGTGGAGGTGTGATAGGTATCCTCTGCTGTTAGGTTGCAAGCAGCAGCTGGAGCTCAGCTTCGTACATCTGCTGCCTGTGTAGCCGCTAAAGATGAGCATCTGAGTCCTCAGCCTGGCTTTGCACTTAGAGAAGTGCATCACCTCTCCTGCCTGCTCACATTTGCAGACTTTAGGCAGACCCTTTAAGCATCTTTGTTGTTGTTGTTGTTATGTGCTGTCGAGTTGGACCTGACTCATAGCGACCCCTCCTTGGGTTTCCGAGACAGTGTCACTACGGAAGTAGATTGCCCCACCTTCCTTCTGAGGAGTGCCTGGTGGGTTTGAACCACCTTTAAGCCTTCTGGTTAGCAGTCAAATTGCCTTAGACACTACACTACCAGAGCTTGTAAGAATCTTTGGTTATCTCATATAAAAGCTCAATACGGGCTAAGAGTGAGTGTCATCAGCCTCCTGCAGCTTATTTCTGGATACTCTCTTTTAGGTTTTCTCTTCAAGATTCAACTTAATAGAGGTTGTTACTGGGATTATCTGATCTTCCTGGTTTAGCTATTAGTTATAGCCAGGAGGGACTATCTGGCAACAATTCTAAAACTAACATTGCTTTCGGTAGATGTTTTCTGACTTCTGACTGGTTTATAGATAAACATATGTGACAAGTCATTTCGTTCCATTACCTCACAAATCTTCAGAAAGAAGCATTGTTTAAAACTAGATGTATTATTGAGTTGGTTTCTTAAGTCTTGGATGACTATTGGCTTAACTATTCTTATCATGTTTTCTTGCTAAAACTATTATATCTATGCATTGGAAATAAAACTTTGGGACTTGATTGGCCATTTTTTCTGATTGTTAGAGAAGATCTAAGCACACTTTCAAAAGATAAATTTGACCCTGCTTTCAAGATTTCCCTCAGTTCCCTACTAGATGGCGGAAAGATGGGCCCCAACTTAGGCAGGTACCTCAGTTTTCATAAAAGTCCAAACTACCCCAGCTCCATCATTGATTAAGGCTATTTGACAAAGTAGATGAGCTAGGAAGCATAATGTTAGTCTCATTGCTGTTTAATATCTATCCAAAACTCAGCTGAGAGAAGCAGTATTCAGGAAGCATTGCTTCAAGAATATGCCAGTCAGTCTATCCATTCCTCTGGATTGGTGGTTGTGTTAACCTTGTAGTACATTGGACTCAACTGGGAGGCTTTGAAAAATACTAATACTTGGGGCCCAGTCCCAGAAATTCTGATTTAATTGGTTTGGGGTGTGACCTGAACACTGAAACTTTGTAAAAACTTCTCTGATAAAGCTTTAGAATTATCTAGACTGGATAGCTTTAACCATTTTGTGACCTGTGGGACATATATTGCCCACCAATATTTTCATCCTCTCAGGTTCTTGGGAAACTTCTATCCCAGTTGTAGTATGTGCTGCCAACTGGCAGGGACCTGTATAACTGTGCGAATCTGAAGAAATGGGCCTCACCTCTCCCATCCTACCACCAGAGTCCACTTGGGACATATATATGCCCTGCATAATTGTATCAAAATCCATATTACCTCAAAAAAATTTTTTTTTCCTTGAGTTCATCATACCTTCCATTACTGAATAAATACAGTATCAACAAAAAAATTCAAAGCAGAAGATAATTTGCTCATGAAAGGATTTAAAAAATTGAGTTTCTACCCCAGGGGATTCTGATTGAAGTCCAGATGGGGTTTAAGCATTGGTCACTTTTAACCATTTTATCAGTGATTCCAATGTGTAGCCTCGGTTTGAAGGCATTGCTTTATTCTAAATCTGTACCTGGAAAATTTTTGTTCACTTTTATATAGGTTTTATTTTTGTTTTACCTGGAGTGTAGCATACTGATCTCAGTATAGAATTGCCTTCGCTGAAATGCGCTTTGGTGAGATGCTATCATTCTGTGCTGTGGGAAGGATGAGAAACAGTCCCATGGAACTCAGTGCTGTGTCTACTGAAAAGATGTTCATTATATTACACTGTCCTCTTTATGAGGACTCTTGGGAGAGATTTGTCTGTTAGCATTAGAAATGGTGTGCTTCTCCTGAACAGTTGGCTTGCTTTTATCTTCAGGATATTGTGCAGCTGATCGAGTTTCTCCTTTTACATAAAACCCAGAAATCTTAGAGCTGAATCTGTGTCCTACTTCTAATAAGTATGTGGATCTTTATGAATTTCTTCTTGGGTAACTTCATTCTACATCCATTTTTTTGCCCCTACCCCTATTTGTTTTTATCTTTTGCATACTTTGAATTGGTTACTTTATGGTATTGTAGGGATTGCTATGATCTACCTTAAGTTATTTCTTGAGGATGGGATATAAATAAATGAGGAAAACTGTCAAGTTAGTCTTTGCCACTGATTTCAAAGCTGAAGAGCAGGAATAAGAATGAGAGTGTGTATTTGGGGTGGATACTATGTGTGAAACATCATCCATTTATGAAAGTCTGAAAATATGTACTCTAGACTGGCCTGAACTTGCAGAAATCATCTTCTAGGCAACACGAAGGTTCTGGGTTGGTGAATGTGATAGTTGGAGCTGTGTGTCAAATTGGCTGGACCACAGTTCTGTGTGGTTTAAGCAGTTGTGGTGTGGTGTTCCAATGATGAGATCAAATGTATGTGTTTTGAGCAGCCAATCTGTTGAAAGGGAGTTTCCTAGGGGTGTGGCCTGCTTCCAGTATATTTATGGACATCCTGGGAAAAGCGACACTCTTCTGTGGATCGGGATTCTGTTGTGCTGCCTACAACTGTCTGTGAGCGAACAATCCACCATTCAGCCTGGAGATCTTGGATTTGTCATTTGTTGGAGTCAACAGCCAGTATACTGCCTGCCAACCTTGCACTCCTCAGCCCCTATAGCTGCATGAGTCAGGAAAAGCCTCCAGCTTGACGTTTGATCCCAGAATTTGGGATTTGCCAGCTTCTATAAGTGTGTGAGCCATTTTCCTAAGATAAATTTCTCTTTCTCTATATATATAAATTTTACTGATTTTCTTTCTCTAGAGAACCCAGTCTAACACAGTGAATGTATGGCAAGAAATTCCTTAGGGAGGATGAACAGACCTCTGGCCCTGTGGACTTGTAAGGATGGATCATTCAGTCTTGGCCCTGAAGGAGTTTACAATGTGATGAAGGAGAAAGCCAAAGTAGATTTCAATTATGGGAACGTGTTGGAAACACTGACAACAAAAACGACAGACCTTGAACTAAAGGACAAACCTTGAACTCAGCTTTCTTCTGTCTTGGTCTTAGTTTTAGTGAAGGAGTGTTTCCATTACCTTTGCCACCTTAAAAACAAACAAACAACCCATTACTGTCAAGTCAGTTGGGACTCATAGTGATCCTATAGGACAGGGTAGAACTGCCCCCATCGGGGTTTCCCAGGCTGTAATCATTATGGAAGCAGATTGCCACATCTTTCTTCCATGGAGCAGCTGGCAAGTTCAAACCACCAACCTTTTGGATTGTGGCTGAAGGCTTAACCACTATGCTACCAGGGCTCCTTCTTGTCACCTTGGGGAAAAAAAAAAAAAAAAAAA